CACATCGATGGTGAGTTTTTTCGTCCATAACTCACATCGATGGTGAGTTTTTTCGTCCATAACTCACATCGATGGTGAGTTTTTTAGTCCATAACTCACATCGATGGTGAGTTTTTTGTCCATAACTCACATCGATGGTGAGTTTTTTAGTCCATAACTCACATCGATGGTGAGTTTTTAGTCCATAACTCACATCGATGGTGAGTTTTTGTCCATAACTCACATCGATGGTGAGTTTTTTTGTCCATAACTCACATCGATGGTGAGTTTTTTGTCCATAACTCACATCGATGGTGAGTTTTTTAGTCCATAACTCACATCGATGGTGAGTTTTTTTGTCCATAACTCACATCGATGGTGAGTTTTTTGTCCATAACTCACATCGATGGTGAGTTTTTTCGTCCATAACTTACATCGATGGTGAGTTTTTTTGTCCATAACTCACATCGATGGTGAGTTTTTTAGTCCATAACTCACATCGATGGTGAGTTTTTTGTCCATAACTCACATCGATGGTGAGTTTTTTAGTCCATAACTCACATCGATGGTGAGTTTTTTCGTCCATAACTCACATCGATGGTGAGTTTTTTTGTCCATAACTCACATCGATGGTGAGTTTTTTTGTCCATAACTCACATCGATGGTGAGTTTTTGTCCATAACTCACATCGATGGTGAGTTTTTTGTTCATAACTCACATCGATGGTGAGTTTTTTTCGTCCATAACTCACATCGATGGTGAGTTTTTTTGTCCATAACTCACATCGATGGTGAGTTTTTTCGTGCATAACTCACATCGATGGTGAGTTTTTTGTCCATAACTCACATCGATGGTGAGTTTTTTGTCCATAACTCACATCGATGGTGAGTTTTTTAGTCCATAACTCACATCGATGGTGAGTTTTTTCGTCCATAACTCACATCGATGGTGAGTTTTTTAGTCCATAACTCACTTAGATGGTGAGTTTTTTCGTCCATAACTCACATCGATGGTGAGTTTTTTAGTCCATAACTCACTTAGATGGTGAGTTTTTTCGTCCATAACTCACATCGATGGTGAGTTTTTAGTCCATAACTCACATCGATGGTGAGTTTTTTCGTCCATAACTCACATCGATGGTGAGTTTTTTCGTCCATAACTCACATCGATGGTGAGTTTTTTTTCGTCCATAACTCACATCGATGGTGAGTTTTTTAGTCCATAACTCACATCGATGGTGAGTTTTTAGTCCATAACTCACATCGATGGTGAGTTTTTGTCCATAACTCACATCGATGGTGAGTTTTTTCGTCCATAACTCACATCGATGGTGAGTTTTTTCGTCCATAACTCACATCGATGGTGAGTTTTTTCGTCCATAACTCACATCGATGGTGAGTTTTTTAGTCCATAACTCACATCGATGGTGAGTTTTTTAGTCCATAACTCACATCGATGGTGAGTTTTTTCGTCCATAACTCACATCGATGGTGAGTTTTTTTGTCCATAACTCACATCGATGGTGAGTTTTTTAGTCCATAACTCACATCGATGGTGAGTTTTTTCGTCCCATAAACTCACATCGATGGTGAGTTTTTTGTCCATAACTCACATCGATGGTCCATAACTCACATCGATGGTGAGTTTTTTCGTCCATAACTCACATCGATGGTGAGTTTTTTCGTCCATAACTCACATCGATGGTGAGTTTTTCGTCCATAACTCACATCGATGGTGAGTTTTTTTCGTCCATAACTCACATCGATGGTGAGTTTTTTAGTCCATAACTCACATCGATGGTGAGTTTTTGTCCATAACTCACATCGATGGTGAGTTTTTCGTCCATAACTCACATCGATGGTGAGTTTTTTTCGTCCATAACTCACATCGATGGTGAGTTTTTTAGTCCATAACTCACATCGATGGTGAGTTTTTTTCGCCCATAACTCACATCGATGGTGAGTTTTTTGTCCATAACTCACATCGATGGTGAGTTTTTAGTCCATAACTCACATCGATGGTGAGTTTTTTCGTCCATAACTCACATCGATGGTGAGTTTTTTAGTCCATAACTCACATCGATGGTGAGTTTTTTCGTCCATAACTCACATCGATGGTGAGTTTTTTCGTCCATAACTCACATCGATGGTGAGTTTTTTAGTCCATAACTCACATCGATGGTGAGTTTTTTCGTCCATAACTCACATCGATGGTGAGTTTTTTCGTCCATAACTCACATCGATGGTGAGTTTTTTGTCCATAACTCACATCGATGGTGAGTTTTTTAGTCCATAACTCACATCGATGGTGAGTTTTTTCGCCCATAACTCACATCGATGGTGAGTTTTTTGTCCATAACTCACATCGATGGTGAGTTTTTAGTCCATAACTCACATCGATGGTGAGTTTTTTCGTCCATAACTCACATCGATGGTGAGTTTTTTCGCCCATAACTCACATCGATGGTGAGTTTTTTCGTCCATAACTCACATCGATGGTGAGTTTTTTTCGCCCATAACTCACATCGATGGTGAGTTTTTTCGTCCCATAACTCACATCGATGGTGAGTTTTTTCGCCCATAACTCACATCGATGGTGAGTTTTTTCGTCCATAACTCACATCGATGGTGAGTTTTTTCGCCCATAACTCACATCGATGGTGAGTTTTTTGTCCATAACTCACATCGATGGTGAGTTTTTTCGTCCATAACTCACATCGATGGTGAGTTTTTTCGTCCATAACTCACATCGATGGTGAGTTTTTTCGTCCATAACTCACATCGATGGTGAGTTTTTTAGTCCATAACTCACATCGATGGTGAGTTTTTTCGCCCATAACTCACATCGATGGTGAGTTTTTTGTCCATAACTCACATCGATGGTGAGTTTTTTAGTCCATAACTCACATCGATGGTGAGTTTTTTCGCCCATAACTCACATCGATGGTGAGTTTTTTCGCCCATAACTCACATCGATGGTGAGTTTTTTCGCCCATAACTCACATCGATGGTGAGTTTTTTCGTCCATAACTCACATCGATGGTGAGTTTTTTAGTCCATAACTCACATCGATGGTGAGTTTTTTCGTCCATAACTCACATCGATGGTGAGTTTTTTAGTCCATAACTCACATCGATGGTGAGTTTTTTGTCCATAACTCACATCGATGGTGAGTTTTTTCGTCCATAACTCACATCGATGGTGAGTTTTTTGTCCATAACTCACATCGATGGTGAGTTTTTTGTCCATAACTCACATCGATGGTGAGTTTTTTGTCCATAACTCACATCGATGGTGAGTTTTTTCGTCCATAACTCACATCGATGGTGAGTTTTTTCGTCCATAACTCACATCGATGGTGAGTTTTTTCGTCCATAACTCACATCGATGGTGAGTTTTTTAGTCCATAACTCACATCGATGGTGAGTTTTTTCGCCCATAACTCACATCGATGGTGAGTTTTTTGTCCATAACTCACATCGATGGTGAGTTTTTTGTCCATAACCTCACATCGATGGTGAGTTTTTTGTCCATAACTCACATCGATGGTGAGTTTTTTCGCCCATAACTCACATCGATGGTGAGTTTTTTGTCCATAACTCACATCGATGGTGAGTTTTTTGTCCATAACTCACATCGATGGTGAGTTTTTTGTCCATAACTCACATCGATGGTGAGTTTTTTCGTCCATAACTCACATCGATGGTGAGTTTTTTGTCCATAACTCACATCGATGGTGAGTTTTTTCGCCCATAACTCACATCGATGGTGAGTTTTTTCGTCCATAACTCACATCGATGGTGAGTTTTTTGTCCATAACTCACATCGATGGTGAGTTTTTTCGCCCATAACTCACATCGATGGTGAGTTTTTTCGCCCATAACTCACATCGATGGTGAGTTTTTTGTCCATAACTCACATCGATGGTGAGTTTTTTTCGCCCATAACTCACATCGATGGTGAGTTTTTTCGCCCATAACTCACATCGATGGTGAGTTTTTTGTCCATAACTCACATCGATGGTGAGTTTTTTCGCCCATAACTCACATCGATGGTGAGTTTTTTCGCCCATAACTCACATCGATGGTGAGTTTTTTGTCCATAACTCACATCGATGGTGAGTTTTTTCGCCCATAACTCACATCGATGGTGAGTTTTTTCGCCCATAACTCACATCGATGGTGAGTTTTTTAGTCCATAACTCACATCGATGGTGAGTTTTTTCGCCCATAACTCACATCGATGGTGAGTTTTTTCGCCCATAACTCACATCGATGGTGAGTTTTTTCGCCCATAACTCACATCGATGGTGAGTGACATCTGAATTTGTCCTGCCCCACACCAGCTGCCTCCCGCCCACTCCTGAAACTCTTCACCAACCCACACTGACCAGCATGGTGAAGTATGTCCAAATAGCCCCAGAGACTTGCACAGTGTAGGGGAAACATCAAATCCAGCTTTAGATTGACAAGTTCCTGACTCTGCATCGTGATCATTATAATTGTCAAGTAAAGTCACCTGATGACGGGTGCTTGTGTTGCGGCCGGAACGTCGTGTTCTTCTATCTACCAGAGAGTATAATATCAGGTGGTGTAATTTTTGGGACTGCCCACTGCGCAACGGCGGTGATTATGAGGCAGGATACTGTGCCACGTGCTGCTCTGTCCTGCTGGACTCCCCGGAGATCTTCTCAAGAGCAGACTGCCGTGTGACTCAGAGGCTGCCGAATTTCTCAAGACAATCATGACTGTATTTTAATTTTGTTGGACCTCATTTTGTTTGTCTTATCCACACGTGGTCACTATTTATGCACTGTAATTTCGTATGTTTCACAACACGATGTCCTTAAGTCTACGGCAAATCGCGCTGTGCTGTTGGGCACAAGTGTGGTATTCACCCGCTGGCAACGTCCGTTACAGTTTTGACGTCTTCTGGCCCTGTACACTTTCCCTCTAAGTCGTTACCCGCTTTTCTTATTTATCTTTTCCTTATGTTCTCTGTTATTCTGGACGTGACCTTCAGCAAGCCCAGGTTGGTGACCACATCTGCATGCCACAGTCATGCGCGGAGTGCTTGAAGGCCGCTTTGCTGACCTCTCTGTGCTTCTGTCCACTTGGTTATCTCGCTGCAGGTGGCAAAGCCATCTCGTTCTCGCTCGTTCCATTCAAGAGGATACACGTTTATCTGACCCGCTCTCATGTTCTTCATAACAAATCTATTCTGTGCGCTTGCTGTTGGGTTTGAAGTAATTATAATTCGTGAGTGAGCTGCCTATTATGTGTGAACATGCTTTATCGGTTTACTGTGAAGACTCTTATTTGTTTATTTATAATTTTATAGTTATGAACATGGACATCACTCATCTATATGTGTTTACACAGCCAAGGATCCACAATGAGGCATGCATTAAGAAGGTGATATATATGATTATTGTCCATAACGCTTCTATCTAAATCTATTATTATTACTAATTACAGTCGGCTGTGCCGAATTTATTGTACAGCCCCCCTTTCTACTTTAATCTTTTGCTATTAAATAGTGACGGCTGCATGGTGCGGTCCAGATTACTCTGCACATGGTGCAGCGCGAGTGAAATGTTTCTCCGGAATTCCGGCGTTCATTCACAATCAACTTTGCACATTTCAGATTCTTAATGCGTGCCTTGGTGCAAGAGAATGTAAATAAAAAACAACACCACCAATCCCACGCCTTGCATGTTACACTTTGCATTGGCGCGCTTTGCCACATCTCGCATTAGAATGCCCATCTCATCTGTGTCTACGTGTTACAACGCCACACACACACCACGGTGCGCAATTAATTGAAGATAAAAAAAAATTGCTTGCCTGTGCGGGCCAGACTCACAATCACAAGTCAACATTAACGTTTGTACATCAGCTTGTTCGTCTTCCGCGTTTACAATGATGTGCATTACTGTACATTTGCACCAGAATTAGTATTTGCACTTTTATGTATCCCGATTGAGCATTTTAATTTCTTTGGCATTTTTGATAAAAGAGCGATGGTAGTATACTCTTTGGTTCTTTCGGTAAAGTCACGTAGGTGAAAAAATAAAAACAAAACTAAATCAATTAAATCACGACGTTACGGGCGCAACACAAGCGCCCGCCATCAGGTGGGACGACCATAGCAAGAAAACAATTGCTAAAGTGGTCAAGAGATATGCTGCAGATGTTGTGTTGCGCCCGAAACGTCGTGATTTAATTTGTTTTTGTTTTAATTTTTTCACCTACGTGACTTTACCGAAAGAACCAAAGAGTATGGATCCTTGCAGTCACGAAAACTTCAAATCTAGAATGAGCGATGGTAGTGTGTGTGTTTTTATTTTCCATTGTATGGTATTTGAAAAGCAGCTCATATTAACATTCTAATTGCAGGTTTAGGAATCTATTTGATGGCATCAGGAGTTGTTTGATAATATATTGCACATTTAATAGCCATCATGTTATACTGCAGCACTGTAACGGCAGTACATTGTTTATTTTAATAAGTTTGTAAAGCCATTATTTGTCTACGTTTTAATTGTGCATGTGTTACCATCCTGAAATAATAAGATACCTTTCTGTGCACCCATTGAGGCTTAGGTCTGTAAAGTAATTATAATCTGTTTTTGCATTTTACCCTGAGGCCACCAATTACTAAAATATGTATATCTGTAAAAGTTTATCGCTTTCCAGTTATATTAGTTTATGATAGATGTAAGGCAATGTCCATGTTGAAAACAAGCCACGTGTTTTTGCACAAACCCAATATAACCCTAGGCGAATCGGTTTGATCTTCTATTAAAGCATAATTGTCTATGTTGGCATAGTTACATAGGTATTAATTTATTTTCCACATAGACCGGAGTCAGCTTATTGTCCGCATATTTTAGGTTGTGAAATAAGTAACGTTGCTGTTGCATTGTTGGTGCCCATATAGATTAACAGAGCATAATATTGTAGTGTTTTAACTTTTTGTCGTCAATTCATAACCATGTTTTTTCTGTTGCTCCTCTGAACCTGCCCCTTCCACTTAGTAAGCAGCCATAATTAGGACTTGCAGCTAAATCAACTTTAATGCTCATAAAACACTCAAATAATACGCTAGATTCCCAAAGTTCCCTCTGCAAAGAAATAATAAAATGTGTTTAACACATGCCATTAGCCACACAGCCTTCTGGTAGTGCAGCATTGATTCAACATAAGCAAAATTCTGGACCAGTTTTGACGTTCAGTGTCTCATCAGCAACCAGATTTGCTTTAAATAATGCTGGTGAGCTTACATATTTTGTGTTATTTTTTATGCTCATAGTGGAGTGGGAAATTATATGAAAACTCCGAGTGTGGCATTAACATAGTACACTTAACATTCGTGTACACTGCTCTCATAAGTAAAAGTTACGTATATGATTTTAATGTTATTTCATGTGATCTGCTCTGAGAACGAATGTCATAAAATGCAATAAATGAAATCATTTTTCCTGTCATGAACAGCAAAGCGCTTTCTCACATCTCTAGAACTGGGCACAGAACACTTTGGGGCCAACCTCCACCGGACTGCTCGAGCAAAGTGGCCCCCTTAATCTGCTGGCAGAGGCTTTTGTGGGGTAAACTTCCCCTTCACGTCGGCCTTGGGTGTCCCTCAGCAGCTTTCCTTTACCCTCCGCGGTGTCCTGTGTGCGCCGTGTGCCGAGCAGGTGTATGAGGTGGTGCCGTGCCACATGCCTTGCCAGCAGCACGTGTGGGTGGCGGGACCGTGGGGGGCCTGCAATGCGAGCGGCGCGGTGGGAGGGTGCGGGGAATCCAGCGCCGGTGAGCAGGTGCGTCAAGTCAGGTAAGAGCTCGCGTGTGCGCGACAGTGAAGCAGGCGGCACACATAGCTTTCTGGAACATTGCGATTAGGTTTTTATTGTTGCTGGATTTTTTGCCCTCTTTTCTTTTGTTTTTATGGAATTTGCCAGTTCTCTAAAGCCTAGGCAGCTTGCTCAGCTTTGCAAATAATTCCCCAGGCTCTAGTTAAATCACACATATTGGCCACTTGGCAGTGTCATCTGAAAATTTGATGATCAAGTTATGCATTGGCTTGTGATATCCATTTCGACGTTTTTTTGTCTAGACAACACTTGTTTGCCAGTATTATTTTGCGTTGTTGTGTTAATTTTGCTTATTTTATGGTTGAGATGTTATTTCATCAATATTGGTTATTTATTTTGCGGTACATTTTCTTGTTACCGTCAGACGTGCAGAATATTGATGTTCAGCAGTGGTCAGCTGTTAGAAATGCTGTCACAGTAATACAGCTTGAAAATTAGATTTTCAGCATTAAAAATGGAACATAATATTTCGTCCTATGATACGATGCCCTGGAATGTATTGGCAAGTGAGCTAACATTTTCTCGTGACAGTGTTTAAAATTAGTATTTTTTTATCCAACAAAATACAAAATGATAGCTGGGAAACGAGCAGCCTCTCAAATACATCACATTTATCACGGTTTCACATGACAGAGCTCTGATTGAATTAGATATTCACAGCGAATATCAAAAGCAAATACAGAGAGGTTTAATTTATTTGAAAATGTTATGCATCTTCTAATTTATTAAGCAAATGTGATTGGTATCGTACCGTCAAGACAGTTGCAGAGTTTTATTTTTTATTAAACCTTTGTTTGGTCTTAAAATGTGTTTGATAAGTGAAGATACGTTTATAAACGCATCTTTGTTACGTTTTAAAGGAGTGCAAAGGGTTTTGAGGGTGCCCGTCTCACGTTTGGTTGTGGCCCTTAAAAATATACACTTCTGCACATGTATGATAATAATTCAAATGTATAATGCGAATTCCATCCTAGGATCCCAATGCACAATGCATGGAAAGCAGGAAACAAAAACAGAACCAGGAAAACCGACCAAACTAAAGAGGGAACGCCACTTTAAAGAGATGGGGTTTTCAAAGCAGACGTAAATTTATCTCCCGACTCCGATTTCCTGATTTCAATACAATACAAGGAGACGGTCAACTGAACACATAGTCATTGATAATCTCGAATGCTGCTCACAACCTATTTTTAACTAAATTTTTTGCAAAACTTGATCGCAGTCTTTTTCTGTTAAAGAAGAATAATAAGTGTACGTATGCGTGTACGTATTGTGGTAAACGATGTAGCTTGCTGGCCGAGTCTCCTCTCAGCCAGATATTACGAGACGTAACACGTTTTTTTACCTATTCCTGCATTCGTGTCTCTATACAGCCTAATGTCATGCTCTTTGGGGATTTTTAGCCGCATGTTCTCGGTATCAGGTAAAATTCCCCAGAGGAAGTGGTTGCCTGCTTGAACAACATTGCATTAATACAGGTATATTCCCAGAAGTATAAACCCTTTTGAACTACTCTACTTATTTTCCTAACACATGAATTTGTCCAAAGAATGGAGGTGCATGATTGGACAGCTTTGCTTTTTTGGTGTGTCCTTGCTGTCTGGGTTGAATGGCAAATCCAGTTGAAATTCCGGGTATTGAGAATGTGACTGGCGAATGCAATGCAGCGAAATTATAGAACTGTATAACAGCTTTCGAATTTGGTCTCTAATTAAAATTAAATGTTACAAATTAAAGCGTAATACCAGAGAGAAAATTAGACAGTGTTGCGAATTGTTAAATCTCAATTATTATCCTTTAATATCGTCGCCATTATTATACTGTAGAAAATAGTGTTCCAATTTAAAATGTGCATGGTGAAGGAATAAGTTAAACCCCTTGAGATTTTGAACACTGCTACGAACAAAAGGTGAACACACTTTCTGACTGTAGGGAAACGAATCAGTGTATGAGCTTCGTTCATTTAAAACAATTGTGGGGTTTAGGGAGTGGAGAATTCTCGGGTTGGCCTGGAGAGTGTGACGATGAAAGCAGGTCCAGTTGTGCCACTCTTTAAATTTCTATGAACATATTTGGGGCTGGTTAATGTATGTAATCTAATCTAAGGGGGATGTTATTTTATTACGAAGGGAAAAAAAGCACCAATGAACGTTCGTAATTCAGCGGACGCCAAAGAAATGGCGAAGACCTTTGGGCAACTGTTTATTAATTTCACAACAAAGATGATGCATCAAAATGACCCAGGTTATACATTTTACGAGTACTTTTTGCCTTCACGAACTGTCTGTTGTTGATGCTGTATATGTATATTCAATGGCATAAGGCAATATTTTATTATAAGACAGATTCACTATAATTCGACACACCTGGAGGTTTCATGAGTTTTTACTCTGTTGTGAGCACATTATTGAGACTGATAATGCCGTCTGACAGAGCAGTGGTATTCATCTTCTTATTTCTTTCGGTAAAGTCACGTAGAATGTAAATAAAATAATACAAATATTACGTTTGATTTTTATTATTTTATTTCCATTCTACTTGACTTTACCGAAAGAACCAAGAAGATGAATCCCTGCAGTCACGAAAGCTTTAAATCGAAAAGCAGTGGTATTCTTAGAAACTTTGCATGAAAACAAATCTAACGGAAAATTTTAGTTAGCTATAAGTATCGCATCATAAGACATCATTACCCTTGGAGTAGACAACTCAATCCTTGAATGTCTTGTATAATTTGCGAGTGATAGTAGTCTTCGTAGGATTCTTGAGTAATAAGAACGGGAGCTTTTTTTCCCCATGCCCCTAATTTTTCAGCATTGGTTTTGTATCTCGTTTGCTGGAGCAGCCCACACGATAATACGGCTAAACGAGGCGACAAATTCTCCCTCTGGCTCTGGGGGATGGCCAATCCCACTTCAGGACTAACCCAGAACTAGCTCATTAGTGCCAGCAGCGAGCAAAAGAGGCTGTTTCGTATGCACATATTTATGTGCCTTGGCGATTACTGCTTAAGAATTGACCTTGCATTGTCCTTAACCCACAACAGAGAGTATAACTGCACAGACACGGAACGATTGAAATTTTATAGGTTTCTGTTTTTTCACATTCAACATAATAGGCCGTTAATGTGTGATTAAAACTATTGTGTGCCGACACATAAAAGTTCCCCCCTCCCACTCCCATTCACTGTTTCATTCTCTAGGTTACCATAACATACAATAGATGCTTTTTCACATTCACCTAAACATTAGCCTATGGCTTTTTATGAACGTTGTAATGCTCATGGATAACTCAAGGACTGTATTTGGTTGTGACGGTACAACAATTTTAAATATGTAATTGGGTATCCTGATATCCATTTTAAAACAATTTATCGCAACACTGGTTGAAGTTTCTTGCTATTTCATTTCCGATTACATACTCTGGCAGCATGCGATATTGTGGGCTGCCTCTAGCTGAGAGCACTGTGCCAACCAGCGGTAACAGAAAGAGAACATGGCTCGAGTTATAATTAAAATTTACTGTTTGGTGTAAAGCTCATCTGGCAAGTGAGCCCACGACTTTCATCGCAACTGTTCCTGTTCCCCACCAGGAGACCGGTCAATCTCCCAGACTTAAACCACCACAGGAACAGTTTATACTATTAAAATCTTAACAGTTTTCATATTTGTGTACACCCAAATCTATTTGTTGGGGTTTAATGCGAATATTGAGACGTAACTTCTGGCAAAGTGAGAGACGTTTCCAACAGCTGTCAAATTATTACAGAATATTCACTTATATTTGAAAATATGAAGGATGTTTTCTTCATCTTTCTTTTGAACCAAAACTTCTCACATAGGCGGAGGAACACAGACACACAATCCATTCCACGTGGGCATGGTGCTGTTATGTATGCAGAGTTAAAAAACCCGAGGCACCCTAAGGATACAGACACGGGTGCTGCTGCTGACCCAGTCTGGACCCAGATTTCACCATTATCAAGCTAGTCATGTGCATTCCAAAGCTTTTATTTTGTGCTATCAATCACTTTTGCAGCAGTTATACATTTACTGTGTAGGTTTTTACAGTTGTGCTCTTTAGATCTCCGATGTGTTTCCTGTTGTTCGTCAGCTTATGCATGTGTTTTTCTTTTGCTCGAAGTGCTACATTACGGTCGGTGTGTGGCTTGCGCAGGTGCACTGTGAACACTCCCGATGGGCCCAGCGAAGTGGCCGATGCACAGATGTGCGATCCTGAAGCCATGCCTGCTGTGCACCGGTCGTGCTGGCTTCCCTGCCCTTGGGAGTGTGTCTTGTCCGAGTGGGGCCCTTGGGCAGCCTGCGTACAGGTACACAGTGGCAGACACGCACCACTTCTAATGTCTACCTTCTAACTTCGGATGCTCCAAGCCCAGACCTCTGTGACCCGGGTTTGTGTAATGTGGAGGTGGCACACAATACAAACAACTTCCACGTTGACTGTTGAGGATCCCACGTTGACTGTTGAGGATGCCACGTTGACTGTTGAGGATCCCACGTTGACTGTTGAGGATTCCACGTTGATTGTTGAGGATCCCACGTTGACTGTTGAGGATGCCACGTTGACTGTTGGGGATTCCATGTTGACTGTTGAGGATTCCACGTTGACTGTTGAGGATTCCACGTTGACTGTTGGGGATTCCATGTTGACTGTTGAGGATTCCACGTTGACTGTTGAGGATTCCACGTTGATTGTTGGGGATTCCACGTTGACTGTTGAGGATTCCACGTTGACTGTTGAGGATTCCACGTTGACTGTTGGGGATTCCACGTTGACTGTTGAGGATTCCACGTTGACTGTTGAGGATCCCACGTTGACTGTTGGGGATTCCACGTTGAGTGTTGAGGATTCCACGTTGACTGTTGAGGATCCCACGTTGACTGTTGAGGATCCCACGTTGACTGTTGAGGATTCCACGTTGACTGTTGAGGATTCCACGTTGACTGTTGAGGATACCACGTTGACTGTTGAGAATCCCACGTTGACTGTTGAGGATTCCACGTTGACTGTTGGGGATCCCACGTTGACTGTTGAGGATGCCACGTTGACTGTTGATGATTCCACGTTGACTGTTGAGGATTCCACGTTGACTGTTGAGGATCCCACGTTGACTGTTGATGATCCCACGTTGACTGTTGAGGATTCCAACTTGACTGTTGATGATCCCACGTTTACTGTTGAGGATTCCACGTTGACTGTTGAGGATTCCAACTTGACTGTTGATGATCCCACGTTGACTGTTGTGGAAGCATTGCGTATGCAAAGCCGAATGTTTTCTCCAATTTTGTGAAAAGATATAAAAGCCTGCTGAGCAAATTAGTTTCCCAATGAGGGTAATATATTTTAGGGTTATTTTTTTATCCTTCCAAAGTCTAATTTCAGATCATTCTGGTGGAATTCAGTTTCCAAAGCAAAAAGTTGTAGAGAAATAGCTGAACATAAAAAAATGGAATTGTAAACAAGTACTGTATTATATATCGAGATGTCACCTTGGAGTTAATAATTTATAAACGTCACCTCTTTTGTTATGGGTTTTCTTTAAGAAAATTCTACTTTCTTTGAAGATATGAACCAAGAAATAGCTTTTTAGCTCTCCTTGAATATGCAGGCTGAAGGCTGGTTTATCAAACAGGCTGAAGGCTGGCATATGATAAAAGTACATTTTCAGAGCATCTGCTGGAGGTGACAAAGGATTATTAAAATACCAACCTGTGAAAATGTGTTCCCAAAGGAATGTCTGCTGAAAGAATAGCTACACCTTTTGGTGTGCCAGTCTCTGTGTTGCCTTTGTGTTCATTCACTTATCTCTGTAAGTAAAGAGTGTTGTACCACGGCGGTGTCGCACAGTGCTCCTTTGTCCACTGGCAGTGCTAAGCCAGCGGTAGACATGACGTACTCGCAAAGTCGGAACCAAATGACCCATAGATTTACTCACACACGTCATCTCACAATAATCTGGGGGTAATGTGGGGTGTGTGGTGGCCTGGATTAAACAAACATTATTGTTCGTATAGAACGGGGGGGGGGGGGTGAAGACTGGAGTCTTCTATTTTTAATGCTCGTAAAATAGTTTACTTTCCAACATGTTTGTTGTCATGTGGGAAATCACTAAATACCATTGGTAGCAATTCATATCTGAAGCGGTACTGGTCCCCTTCACCCACCAACCTGGTGAAGTACAGTCAATCCGCCGTTGCATGACGCAGTGTGGAAAGGCCTTCATCTGGCGATGGATTGACAAAGAGCTGTAAATTATTATTATAAATAGATGAAAACAAAAAGCATCCATTATAAAATATTAAAAGCATGACGTACGATGTCATGAATAAAATATGAAAAGTATAATGTACAGCCTGACAGTAAATGTATTGGTGCAGATAATCATGGCACAGCAGTTGTGTTGTACTGTCGTCAGCGGTGTCGTGTGGTTGGCATGGGCCCCAGTGCAAAGAATTAAATCAGGAGGGAAGCTGTCCAATCCCACCCGCCCCCCCGGATTCTGTAGCCCAGCGCCTGTGCAGCTGCACCACCTGCACACTCGGCAGCTACGCCGCTGATTGGATTAACAGTGCGTGCTTGCACCGTGTGTTATCCACTGTTATCATCATCACCACCGCCACCAGCAATCGGGGTCAATCCACTGCTGGACGAAGGCCTCCCAAAGTCATCCCCCACCTCTCACGATCAAGCGATGTACCGATGCACCTATGACCTGCACGCGAACCCATTTCATGATTTGTTTACGAGTGTCAATTTATGTATTGCTTCGTAGCCCTACAACAGCTCCATGGCGCGGATGCGCACCCGCTCCGTGCTCCGCCCCGCCGCTCCTGGAGCGACCTGCGCTGCCCTGAACGAGAGCGAGCCGTGCGCGCTCGACAAAAACTACTTCCACCACCAGTACAACCTGACAGGTGCGGCCAAGGGGGGTGGCGGGCGAGGGTGGCACCTGGGCCCCGAGCGCCAACGTGCTCAACGGTGGCGTGACCCTGGCTCCCCAAACACCTCCCTAATGACTCGATGAATGTCACGATTTCGGCTCGCGAATCTGTTCTTTTCTTTGGTTGCTCTAACTTGCTGGCCCGTCCCTACTGGACATCTGTGATGAAGACTTTTATGGCTCATCGGATTTCTGCAGTATATATATAAAAAAAGAGATGATTCTGATTTTTGGCTCCGTTTAGCTGCCGCATTTGTATCGTTTCTTGTGTCTTGTGTGGGTACACTTTTGCAATTTTCCTAAACATAACACGAGCCTACGGCTTTCATATTATGTGTATAGTTGCTAAATAATGAATAATGACAGAAAATGAGGCAGACAACCTGATTCCAGGCCGCTCATCAGTGAGTGTTTTCAGATCAACTTGAACAACATACACACACACACACATGGAATATATGACAAGTTTATTGGAATTCTGGTAGATGAAAAGCCGTACAAAAGCGGGACATTGCACATAAATGTGCTCTAGCAAAATGAATGTTTCATGGCATTCAAAATGAAGCCAATCATGCCATCGGTGTTATAGGATTTGTTTTAATAAGTTATTGTTGATAATGACATAATTGCACTTGATACCGGTCACGTAACGTTTTTAATTACAGTTCTTTTGGAAACGTGAAAATCGAAACTGCTTTCACGTTGTACATTTGCACGGGCAATTGTGTTGGAATTGACACCGATCCGAAGGTCTTTTAGGACTGAGAGGTCCAAGCCCAACCGATGACAAGACAGCCACTCTGCAAACTGACACATGCAGCTTCCATTAAGCTGGTGTGTGTGTGTGTGTATATATATGCCCGAGTTGGTCATGATGCTGGCACCTGGTCTGGAGTGATTGGAGGGCATGGGCCAGATCAGCTCAATAACAACGGTAGGAGGCTGTTAAATTTTTGTGCAGCCCATGGGCTTGTAATTACCAACACGCTGTTCCGGCATCGGCGCATCCACACAACATCATGGATGCATGCCGGGTCTAAGCAAGAACATCTGCTGGACTACATAGTGACGGACCAGCGGATGCGAGCCCATGTCCTTGACACCAGGACCTACCGTGGAGCTGATCTGCCCTCTGACCATCGACTTGTCATCTGTAAGATGCGCCTGCCATTCTTCCGCTCCGGTGGTGGGTGTACACCCAGGACCCCATTCCAACCTAAAGTGGCCTGGCCTCAGTTATCTGATGAAAGTTGCAAGCGAGAATTTCATCATCACTTGCGGCTGGGGTTGGCATCGTCCCCCACTCCTCCTGATGTCGAGGGTAAATGGGCGAGGTTTAGGACTGTCACTCATGCAGCTGCATTGGCTGCTTTGGGTACGCTGTCCAGACCTCCCCAGAGACCCTGGCTGACAGAGGTGTTCAGGATAAATTTCGATTTAAAGCTTTCGTGACTGCAATGATTCATCTTCTTTGGTTCTTTCGGTAAAGTCACGTAGAATGAGAATAAAATAATAAATTGATAAAATAAAATAACACAATAATATTCTCACGACGTTTCGGCCACAACACAAGCGGCCTTCATCAGGTGAAGGGAGCGAGACTGTCTGGTAGGACAGCGCTGGAGTGAGAGAGCCACGTTCAGATCACGGCTTTTAAGCTGTGTGAGAGGAACAAAGAGCCTTGACGAAGGAATTAGCATAAAATTTAGCATTGAAAAGGCTGAATGATTAGCTTGTGACTGGTCACAGAAATAGCTATGTTAAAAGTTAAAGCATACACCTCCGCAGAGGCACCCATTGTTAAAAGGAATTAGCATAGAATTTAGCATTGAAATAGCTAAATTAAGGCATTCGCTTGTAACTGCTACAGAAATAGTTACGTTGAAGTCAGAGCATACACATTCACCGAGGCACTTAGTACAAATCAAAACAGGAGAATTTAGCATTGAAATAACTAGGCGAATTTAGCATTGAGCTATTCACAGTACTATATAGTGAACCAATACAAACTAAAATATAAATTACCTTCATGTTATCAATAAACTCTATATTCTCCAATCAGCTAAGCTACCAACCATAAGTCGTTATATATCACAATGCTATATGGCGAAAAAATGGGTGGATTCTTAGAATTTCCGTACGGAAATTTGAGGGTAAGAATCCACCCATTTTTTCGCCATATAGCATTGTGATATATAACGACTTATGGTTGGTAGCTTAGCTGATTGGAGAATATAGAGTTTATTGATAACATGAAGGTAATTTATATTTTAGTTTTTATTGGTTCACTATATAGTACTGTGAATAGCTCAATGCTAAATTCGCCTAGTTATTTCAATGCTAAATTCTCCTGTTTTGATTTGTACTAAGTGCCTCGGTGAATGTGTATGCTCTGACTTCAACGTAACTATTTCTGTAGCAGTTACAAGCGAATGCCTTAATTTAGCTATTTCAATGCTAAATTCTATGCTAATTCCTTTTAACAATGGGTGCCTCTGCGGAGGTGTATGCTTTAACTTTTAACATAGCTATTTCTGTGACCAGTCACAAGCTAATCATTCAGCCTTTTCAATGCTAAATTTTATGCTAATTCCTTCCGTCAAGGCTCTTTGTTCCTCTCACACAGCTTAAAAGCCGTGATCTGAACGTGGCTCTCTCATTCCAGCGCTGTCCTACCAGACAGTCTCGCTCCCTTCACCTGATGAAGGCCGCTTGTGTTGTGGCCGAAACGTCGTGAGAATATTATTGTGTTATTTTATTTTATCAATTTATTATTTTATTCTCATTCTACGTGACTTTACCGAAAGAACCAAAGAAGGTGTTCAGGATAGTTGAGAAAAAGCGACAGGCCCACTGTCATCGTTTACAGAATCCCACGTCAGAGAATGAGGAGGCTTACCGCAGCCTTCGCTCGGAGGTTCGGAGAGCCGTGAAGTGCTGCAAGGATGGGTGGTGGTCGCGGGTTGCTGAGGAGATGGCGTCTGCCTCAGTGGCCCGCGATCACAAATCTTTATTTAACTCCATCAAAAAAGTAACCTGCAGCGCCACACTTATTACCATCATTAGGGGAAAAAAACGGTGATCCAATCTCCGACCCCCAGGAACAGGTTTGCAGATTTGCTGAGCATTTCTGTGAGGTCCTGGGGGAGGGGAAATCCCTCAGCCAGGAAAACATCGTGGCACAAAGTGGGGATGGCCCTGCTGAGGCTGCAGTGCCTCAAATATTGGAAGAAGTCACCCCCTGTGAGTGGCTGGCTGAGGTGCCATCTGTTGAGGAAGTACTGAAGGCGATCCGGAGTCTGAGACCAGGAAAGGCAGCGGGCAGAGATGATCTCCCAAGCGAAATGCTGAGGGAGGGTGGCGTTTGTGCACAGACTGCCCTATATGACATCATAACAACAAATTTTTATTTAAAGCTTTCGTGACTGCAGTGAATCATATTCTTGGTTCTTTCGGTAAAGTCACGTTGAAGGGAAACAATAAAATAATAAAAAATATATAAAACAATAAAATTCTCACGACGTTTCGACTGCAACACAAGCAGTCATCATCAGGTGGTGATAATTTTATTTATATATATTTTATTATTTTGTTGTTTCCCTTCAACGTGACTTTACCGAAAGAAGGATGCCCTGGTGGTCCCCCTCTTTAAGAAGGGGGACCGCACAGACTGTAACAACTACAGGGGCATCTCACTCCTCAGTGTGCCGGGAAAGGTCCTGGCAAGGATTATTCAGCATCGCCTTGCCAGGCACGCTGACGAGAGGCTTGCGGAGCCCCAATGCGGTTTCAGGAAAGGGCGGTCCTGCACAGATGCCATATTTTGTGTCCGTCTGCGACAGCAGAGGTGTAGGGAATTCCAGCAAGACCTACATCTCTGGTTTATTGACCTGGTCAAGGCCTATGATACCATCAGTAGGCCTGGGCTCTGGGTTGTTCTTCGTGCTTTTGGAGTCCCTGACCCTCTGCTCACGATCATTAAGGACCTTCATGATGGTGAGCGGGCCCGGGTGAAACTACATCGCCGGGAGTCAGAGCCATTCCCTGTACACCTTGAGGTGCGACAGGGATGTCTTCTGGCTCCCACATTATTTAACATCTATTTTGACCACGTAGTTTGTGAAGCCTTCAATAGCTGTACCGGGGGAATCTCCATATGGTACAGATATAATGGGAGGCTGATCAATGCCCGGGTGCGGTGAAGGGATGGCTCCCTATTGCTCAACCACGTTATGTATGCCGATGATTTGGTAATAGCTGCTCATTCAGAGTAGGAGTTGGAGACGCTGCTGCTGAGACTGGAGCGTGCCACTAAGAGATGTGGCCTTACCATCAGCCCCACCAAAACTAAGCACCTGCCTGGGTATTTTGTACCATCGGACACTCCACCCCCACAACTCCCAATCGGTGATGGGGCAGTTGTGGAGAGAGTGGAGAGTTTCCCATACCTGAGCAGTGTGCTTATGACCGGCTCCAGTTTAACTGCAGAGGTCTCACTCCGAATCAGTCGAGCGGCAATATCTTTTCATTGGTTGCGTAACGCTGTGTGGAAGCTACCTGGTCTGTCGCTCCGCACTAAGCTTCAGGTCTTCTCGGCCACGGTCATTCCCTCCCTTCTCTACGCTTGCGAAACGTGGACCCCCCTAATGGAACATCTTCGCCGGTTAGAAACATTTAGGCTAGCCTGCTTACGATCCATCCTGGGTTTAACCAGGCTGGATTGCGTGAGGAGCTCACAAATCCTTGAAAGATCTGGGCAAGATCCCATTGGTGAGCTCCTCCGGCAGGCAAGGCTGCGTTGGCTGGGTCATGTAGCCCGCATGCCCAGCCACCGCATGCCGAAACAGCTTTTGTTCGGCCGGATCGAGGGGGCTAAACGGAGGAGGCTCGTGAAGGACGCTACTGGGCAGTTGGAGGTAGTCGCCCTCCAACAACAACGAGCGGAGCGCCGGGTCGCTAAAGCACAGCAGGTTGGCACAGTAGGGGGCACCGGTGGTGCATTAGCCAGCCATCTCCGTAATCTTAGTTAGTCGACCCGTGGCACCTGGGTCTGCCCCATGACCTGCCAGCGGGCGTTTGACACTTCACGTGGCCTCAAGGTGCACATGGCCTGGCACAAGCGTCGTGGTGATGTCACCGCCACTTAGTGGCGAATGGCGGTTGTTGATATATGCTGCCAGCTTGCATTTGCTGAAAGTGTTTTCAAATTTCCGGAGTTCTTATGGAGTGCCCTTCATCTGACCTCGCGCAAAAATTGCATATAACCACAGCTGGCACAGATGATGAGTGGGGGCTCGCGTGAAATGTTTGCAAGAACTAGCACACACTGAAGAGCTTTTATCAGCCTGCATTACATTCAGATCAGTTAATTATTTATGTCATCTATCACTTTCTTTAACATTTTGCGTTGGTGGACGTGTGTGTGTGTCCCTTCAAATCCACACTGCCGTGCAAGTGAGCACGCTTTGCATTTTATCATAACCTCTTGATCTGAAGTGTGACATTTTGTTCCAGAAAATGGTCTTACACTGGGACATCTGGCATCGATGTCGTTTTTTTTTTCTGCGTGACTGCAAAACAACTTTTGACATGTTTAAATCTTCTTGCTTCAATAAGCCTGTGTCCATCCGATAGAATTACTTCCCTGGGCCATTTTGGCCCAACTGTATTTTGTAGACACGCTCCATTATAATCTTCAATGCTCATATGCGCGAAACCTTCTGGTTATGCTTCCTACTGCACCGTGTTTCTTTGTGCCTGCAATCAGTGATGTTTGTTCATGAAAATGCATTTTGTTAATGAGGGGGCACCTGCACAACGTGAAGGGCTTCAGCATTGCAGTTCGTCCTCTGCCATACGTATGTCTGTCCAGAAATAACCAGGCATGTCGACAGATGCACGGGATTACTGTGTAAGGGTTACGCAACCTCAATGGGCTTAGAATTCCAAATGAATGTTATGTCAAAAAACGCATTAAATTATATTATTAAACATTTAACAGCTCTGAGCCAATCCACTTCTGGATGAAGGCCTCCCCACGCCGTGTCCATCATGGGGGATGCGCGACCATACTTCACGCAGATCCGTGGTGAGAGTTGGTCATTTGGGGGCCCCGGTTGCAGTCCAGATGCCACTCGCTTGGAATCAAATTCACTCCACCCCAATGTATTCATTAACCTCGCATTATGCACTGACCCTAACATTGTCTGGTGTGGCAACTCGTTTCTCAGCTAGACGTGAGTCTCCACTACCTTAACTCAAATGAGTACCTGGTGTGAGAGTGCTATCGTTATCATCAACTCTCTGCTCATGTGTCACGTGAGCCTTAATAAGTGCTCACGAGCAGCATTTGTCCCAAGGACATACACTTTAAATACACTGTACTACAGGTATATAAACCATCGACGTGATTCTAATGTCTGGGAGTTCAGAATCAGGAGTTTTAGATAGCATTGCAAAAGCATAAATGACTGCAGAATTATTGTACACCGTGGAACATGTAAATTTAAAAAAATGCATCAAGCCATTCTCAATCCACTAATGGATGAAGGCCTCCCAATGCCGTATTAGTCACGGGAGTATTGTTTATCATACTTCATTACACTGGTCAGTGTGGGTTGGTAAATGGGGAGGGCAGGACCGATTCTGATATCTGTCTGGGAATCCAATGAGCCATAGCCAGGAATCGAACTCTGGTTGCCAAGTTCATAACCCAGCATGCTGAGCACCGGGACACCACTTAATTCCTGTATAACATTACAAAGAAATAAAGCAGGTAAATTTAAAAATAGAAAAAGTATTTTCAACAAAGCTGTCGATGTCATGCATTGTCTCAATTCGTAGCAGAACTCTGCATAGTGCAGCTTCTCCATGTTCATGCTGTGGCCTAGCATGAGAGAAGGGATGATTTCATCGCTTTTGTTAGCACAAATCTATTCTGTCTTGGCGGTAATACGAAATGCATTTTGAAGGACATGTATCTGCAGCGTCGTGACTTATTCCAGCTTTGAACTCACCAATTCACAAAGCAATACATGATGTTCACGCCCATGTTTAAAATAAGAAATAGCACGAATTACAATTTAGGCCCCCAATTTGAAGGAAATATTATGGCCAAACTGCCATTAAAATCTTATAAAATTCTGGAATTACTTTCAGCCAGCTCGTTGGTTAATTACATCAGAGGTTTAACATTTAAATTGTCTGAGCAATACTCGTTGCTCAGAAATTATTTCCTGCCCTCCTCACTAGACTGCTGGAGACGCTGCCTTCTTTTTTAAAAGCGTACTCCACTATTTTTGAGGATGCTGCCATTACGTAATGGTGAGCACACTGGCCTTGCAATCCTAAGATCACTCACGCTATCTCCCGGAACGGCAATTGAAACAATAATCAAGTTTGTTAAAATGCCTCCGCCTCTGTCAGTCGATCGCGTGTGGTGGGGTTAAAGCAGAAGAGTGGGCCCAAAATATCCTTTAACGGGATACTTCTAAGCTCTCTCGTAGACGCTCTTCTGCCGACAGTGAGTGAGCAAGAAATTGTAGGTCCACGCCTTTATCTTCCATAGTATATGCACTGATTTAATTTATCGTGACTCGGAGCTAAGGATTCATTCATTCATCCTCACCACTCGTCAGTTTGCTGACAGTGACTTGCACGAAATGATAATGTTGCCGTATAATGGATGATGCGTGTTCTACAAATGTACAGAAAACCACCGAATATCTATTTTGAAGGCTGATGTGCAAATGCAATCGGGGGAGACCTGTATCGCATGGTGAACCAGCTTTGTACACAGAGCAAGTATGTAACATGGTGGAGACATATTGCTATGATGAAGCCTGTTTATTTTTGTACATCACTTGTAATTCTGTGTTGCTCTTGGAAGACTTGAGCAAATTATGTACACACGTGTAAACAAAAGATCATGCATTGTGCTGTGCAGTCATTCTTCAGAGCATTTCCCGTCCGTGTATGGACTTTGGCAGTTTGAAGGCTAATTAATGTCTGAAAAAGTTTGTTGAAAATAATATATGGATCCCCAAAAGCTTGCTACAAAAAAATGTGCGAATGCATTAGGTTAGTCATGTTATTACATTGCAATGGTGTCGGGGGATAATCCAGCACAATTAACGAGATTCAGGGCTTAAATTCTCATTAAAACATTTAAATATGTGCTGTGTTTGCTTTCATAGTTTCTTTCATCTCTACCCCAACAACGATCCACCCCCCACTGTGCCTCTGTTTCCACTCTCCCATTATATTTATGTTTATAATTCTAACGTAACCACTTGTGCACGAAACAATTGCAAGTGGGAAATGGATCGCATAGCTGCATTGTGGGATACGCAAGGCCATATAATAATGACTTGAGACTACACAAGCTAATAATTTTTAAATGTACACTTTTCTTTATATTTATCCCGCGCTGTTTGTAACACAGTGGTATCTTTTGACTTGCATTTGTGTTTTTTTTTACCGTTCACATGTCAATTCGATAGCATTCACCCGGTAGCTGCATTCCTGCTTGATGATGTTCAGAGCCCTGCAGTTTCAATTTCTTGCTCACGCGACTGCTAGCGGAAGGGTCTCCACTCGAGGAGGTCCAGAGAGCCACTCTTTAACTGGGACGTTGAGCGACCTCTTTCACACTGCCCTAATGTCTTTGAGAAGGTGGAATTACCCACACTTTACCCCACCACTTGGAACCTGCCAATCTACTATCTAGAACAAACCCTCCCACAGTCAGTAAGATTTTCAAATAAAAATGTTCATACAAGTTAGTTTATTCATGTATACTTATGAACGATCCATTATTTTGTACTAAAAAACTACTATTAGGCAAATATTCATATACCCATTTAAAAACAGGTCATCAGAAAAAAATTCAAATGTAATTCTCATCAGGCCCCATGGTGTTAAGTGCAGTCTCCAACTCTTATTAAGTCTTACCTCTCTGGGCTCTCTGTTTATGTGTTATGAAGAAAGGCCATTGTGCAAAACATCACCAATTGTTTTTCTTTCTTATAAGGCAGTGTTGTTGATGAGTGTTCAGTTTATTTACTAACAGTGGTGTTATGGCGCACCCATTATGCTGCTGGGTGGTGGACAAAGGTGGGGGACGAGGTTAACTAATTATTATTATAATTTAAGCGTGCCCATCTTTCAAACCGCCACGCCGCTTGTCACCGACAGCCTTTTGGTTCGAAAGAATTGGCCGCGACCTTGTATCGTCGCAAGCTGTAACATTCGCGCGTTGGTAATTGGCTTGTTGCCCCCCCCCCCCGAGCCTAAGACGTGCTCGTGGCTCACCGTGTCTGCAGAGTGGAGCACGTGCCAACTGAGCGAGAAGGCGGTGTGCGGCGTGGGAGTCGTAACCCGCATGCTGGACTGCGCGCGGAGTGACGGCAAGTCGGTGGACCTGGACTACTGCCAAGAGGCGAGTTGTCTTGGATTTTCACGAGAGGTCCCCCCCTCCAGCCCCATCCCCTTTGGTTCGAAGGGCAATTGGCACTGAGCGGAGGTGTTGGAGGGGGGGGGGTGCTTCTTTCCGAGGAAATGCAACGTAAGCCGCAATAAAAGCAGCGCAAGTTAATTTAACACGGGGCGTTTAACGGGCACCACTGGCCCACTTTCTTACTAACCCCTTCCCCGCCTTGCGCAAGCAACTCGAGTATCCACAGCAGCCTCTCTCCAATCGGAGCAGTCAGCAGATCGGTTCTCCCAACCCGCTCGTCCATTTAAAAGCATATTAAGTGCTGCGCGCATGTGAACGGTACATGATGCTCGCTGTCCCCATGGTCTCGGCTACGCCTTTGCAATTTCGGCACCTGAACTCTGGAACTCGTTGCCCTTCGAGGTCAGGGGACTTCCGAGACACTTTACAAAATGTTCAAATCTCGACTAAAAACGTATCTGTTTAAAATGGATTTCTCGATTTAGCTACTTTCGAACCTCTTTCTCACCTCTTCTTTCCTCGGTTAATGTTAAACTATTTCCGCCTTTCCATGCACAGCGCCCTGAGAACGATTTTTAAAGGGTCCTTTAGAAAAGTGCATTATTATTGTGTACACATACAGCTCTCTTTGTGCAATCTCATTGGCCGAAAAATTTTATTTGATGAGGTTTAGGGCAACAGCCCTTCTTAATGTGCTATGAAGAAGGGCATTGCCCGAAGTCTCACCTGTTATATATATTTTAAGGCCTAAATGTTTTAGACGAATATGTTGAGTTTGTTGTTTGTTGTTGTTAAATGTGCTTGTGCACCACTGCCAACGCAGCAGCCTCTTGCTGTGCAGGTCGTGTGGAGGCTATTTGACCATACTTCACCACGTCGGTCAGTGTGGATTTGTGATGTCAGGCCTGAGGAAGCAAATACATATAATAACACAAATAAACATTTTTGCACTTCCCTCTGCTGCCACCAATTGTACAAATGCAGGCTATATACAGGGTGTTTGACAAAGACCCAATTTCAAAACAGTATATTTCACGATGGCAACATGTTACAATTACACAAAAAGTTACAAACGGTTTAATGAGTTATCAAGTTTTACTAACCATTTTATAAATGCTTTATGTGCCCTCTACCTGCTGTACGAACAAGATTAAGACGATAGTTGAATTCGTCCCAAACGCCTCTCAAAGTGTCTTCTTCCACTGAAGTCACCGCTGCCGTGATTCTGTTTTTGAGGTCATCCAGATTAGTCGCTAATGGTGGCACAAAAACACCACGGGTCTTTGACGTATCCCCACGAGAAAAAGTCACAGGGTGTGGTGATGATGTCTGGGGATCTTGGGGACCAAGAGTGTAGCGCCAAGTCTTGGGGCACCGTGCGACCTATCCATCGTTGAGGCAGTGTTGTCTTGCGAATGGCTGAGGCTAGGGGCTGTTTGTGCGCTGGGAGAGGCATCTAGCGGTAATCATTTGAAACTCTGTGCCCCGCCCTTTCAAGTGGTAAGAGTTTCATTCATGGGCGGTTCGTGGTTGCAGAGATATAGCGATTTCAAATCGGGTCCATATTTTCGAAAAACCCTGTATATAAAACACACCTGCACGCATGGTGGTTATCCATCCAAGCACTATCCAGGATCAACCTTATTTATCTTCTGTGATCTGATAAGATGTGGGCGCTTTCCAGGTGATTTGGTCACAATGCACTGGTTCTGTTCATCGTCCATCACATCAGAGTTTTGTTTCGCTGACAGACAAAGAATGTTAACACGATGCTTTTTTCTTAGATACAAAATGACCAACAGGATTTTACCAATGTACACATTGTGTTGTCTGTTCTGACACTGGGCTTGCTGCATGCTGGGATAATACGTCTCCCTTGCTTTGCTACGCTGCACAGGGGCTCTGCATTAATTAAAGGTCCCAATTGTATGCAAGAGCCTACCTGCCAAAGCATTTTCTCTTTGAGCTACTGCATTGATTTATGGTACAAAATTAACCATGAGGGCCCTGTCACATGTGTCCACAGAAGCATATTTGGTCTGCAGAGTCTGAGCTTGTGATTAAAAATAAATGTAAATAACCAACGCTTGCGGAGATAGATGATGGTCTCATCGGTTCTAATTAAGATGATCATGCAATTATGGTCAGTGTGCAAAGCCACTCGAGCAGCGAATGGCAGTCTGTGGATGGCCTATACTCTCTCATGTGCCCTTGTTTATCTGGTAATTTTAAATGCAGCACTGTGTTGAAGGAGGCTATGATTACAATTGAATTGTGATAATTTGAAATTCTTTGAAATGCCTATGCGAGAGAGAAGTGGAGAATGATCCACCTGAATAGTTTGTTTTATCGACAATGATGAACGTCCGAAAGTGGCACATGTGGGTTAGAGGATACAGGCAGGTTAAAGACATCATTCAAACTCTTAAGGGTTTGTGCGGGACACGTCGCTAGAATAATGCTGACTGACGGCCAAGAATGGTGACAGTGCCAACCAAGGAGAGGGACCCGTCGTGAAAGGAAAATTGGTGGATGGCCTTTATGACTTACAGGGAGATGGAGCAAAGAAATTAGCACTTGTGTAGGCACGAGGTGTATTGCTGCGTCGCTGGGTCATGAGGGTTGGCGAGGGCTTGAGGAGTTCTTCATCCAGCAGTGGATTAGTCATAGCTGGTGATGATGAGCCATCCCCAGGATTCACTGATACAGATGGTAAATATCTTCATTAAATTAGATAATAGTCTACTTATCATTATGTAGAGGAGTAGTGTGAGCAACCACGAGGGGGCAAACAGAGGGAGGTGCGAGCGAGTTGACAGCGGAGAATGACGTCATGTCACGGGTGCTGTAAGGGGGTACCTTTGGGAACAAAGGCGGGTCCGAGCTAGGGGGAGGAGCCACCAAAGGGGTACTTAAGGGGGACCCCGCGACGAAGGCGAGGTCGTTGTGGGGAGCCAGGGCACGGATCGGCTGGAGAGGTCTCTCCCTCCTCGTAGCCGGGCGGTGTTGGTTGAACCCCCGTCCCGTGCAGACGAGTGGGAGAGCCAAGGGGATAGCCGAGAGTAGGGCTCACGAGTATTCAGTAAGGATCGGCTGATAGAGAGAGGCTAGGATCAAATAGTGTTTGGGGTCCGGGGTAAGGACCCAGATAGAGAGCACCTACCTCTGGTGTGAGCTTAGAGTACTGAACGTAGCAGTGTTAATACAACGGCAACAACCCTTAAAGAAATCCCGTCTCCGCGTGGTTCGACTGCACAACAATGATGTCAGTGAAATGTGACCCTCTGTCCACCCGAAGATACCTTGCATGCTTTCACGAAAAATTACGAAACCCCGAATAGCACAGAGCTTACCAATCCCAATGACATGTTTATATAATTTTTGTGGAAGATTGCCTAGAAATACTATTTAAAAAAGTTATTTTTAGTTAAGAAAATAAAATATATATTAGTATGCTATGCATCTGCAATTGACATGTTTGCCTAATGTGTGTATTCCGTGCGGTCATTTGCATTTACATTTCCGTGTTTTCGTGCACACGATTCTTTGTAAAACGTATAAATGAGGGTAAAACAATGTGACATTATATAAGGGGTGCCTTGAATGCAAAGGTAGTTAGTTTAAAATATTGCAGGGCGGGAGGATGATTTGTAAATGTGGCATTGGAGTGAGGAATGAGAGAAGATAAATATCTATAATTTGTTTGCAGCTCGTGGGGAGGGACATGAAGACAATGAACACCTTTTTAAAAAATAAGTCTATAAAGTTGGTATGGCGAAGCCCATATGGATGAATTAATGTTTTTATTGACCTGATTCTCACGGACAAATTCCACATTGTTAGATTTGTCTCTGTCCTCAGCAAATTCAACACAGCAAACGTATTGCAGGCCTGTGTGATTTCATTTATACTTCAATATTGCCAAAGTGAGATCATAGCTAATTACTGGCAAAAACAAGACGGCTGACATCGAAAATTTAGTTCAGGTGGTCGGAGAATTTCGGTTGATTCTAAGCAAAACACAAATTGAAATCCCTAGTAAAGCTAAATTATTAAACAGTTATCACCTCTTTATGTGATGAAATAATCACTATTGTATAAGAACCATGTTGTATATAAGAACCATTTATAAGGGTGGAACTACACTGAGACTGATTTAAGAAGGGAAAAATAGAAGTTGGAGAGGAATTAAGCAAGGATAGTGTCTCATCAAGGCCATTCATAGCAACATGGGAAAATATACTCTTAAAATTCGCTGGGAGTAATATAAGAATAAAAATAGATAGATAAAGTATTGACCATCTTAGATTTACTGATGCCGTAGTTATTATAATAGCCGCATTTTTGTGAAAATGTAATAATGATGACTGCAAGGTTGGTCTCAAGATAAATGTGAGAAAAAAAAATTCCATGCAATAAAGTCTGCAAACAATTGGAGACATTTGTCAGAGGGACACAACCGAAAAAAAACGTCAGCATCGGTCTACCGAGGACAGTGATTGACGGAAGATAGGATCAAAATGTCGAAAAAAAAGGCAAGCAAGAGCAGGTTGGAATGCTTTTCAAAGCAGCGTACCAAATGTGGTTAAAAAAGGTTGACTAAATTATGCATATTGCCTGCTATGATGTGTGGATCTAAAACATGGACAATGACAAAGGAAATTGAATGACAAAAAAATCTGAAAAGTATGCAAAGAAACATAGGGGAGTTGTTTGCTAGGAATGACACTGAGGCATAGAAAATGAAACACGTGCATCAGGGAACAGATGCAAATAAAGGGCATGCTGTTGGCTTAAGAAAACCAAGTGGGCCTGGCCGAAACTACAACTGCTCTAGAGATACGTATAGTGATCCAATTCGCTCATGTGTAGTAGTTAGATGATTTTGTGGCATCGCTGCACCGTGAGGGATGGTGATGGCATGGGGAGGAGGTCTTCCTCCAACCAGTGGATAGATCATGGCTGATGATGATATTCTTTGT